GTTCTTTTCTAACAAGGAATCAGGGATCCATGGAAACTGGCTACATCTTAGACTTCTTGTTGCCTTCAGCAAGTGAGACTTTCATCAAAAGAAACCAATAAAACTAAGGAGGCCAAAAAATTTCACTAAAGAGAGGGTTCGGCTGGCCAAATAATGAAAATGTAATGTTTCAAAAGCAGAAAATAAGTATACAACTAATTGGAGTAAGTGGAATTTGATGATTTCAAATTCAATTTGAAATCTATGATGAATCTCAAAAAGGAGAATAAAATTTATAGAGAAAATCCATACCAAACAATGGTTGGGGAGGGGAGAGAGAGAGAGCCAGAGATTTCAACTGCTGGTTCATTCCCCGAATGTCCCAAACTGGAACCTGGGAACTTAACCCACATCTCCCATGTGAGTGGCAGAAACCCAGTTCCTTGAGCCACACTACTGTTTCCCAAGATCTGTGTTGTCAGGGAGTAGAAGTCACGAGCCAGAAATAGACATCAAATCCAGGTACTTTGATTTGGGATGTCAGCATCTCAACCGGTATCTTGCTTGCTAGGTTAATCGCCTTCCTCATGTCCAAATATAAACCTCCGCTCCCCATAACTGTGAATATGTTCTTCTTTGGAAAAGAGGTCTTTGCAAAAATAATTAATGTGGAAATAGCAAGATAAGATCATCCTGGATTAGAGTTTGTTGAAGAAAAATTGCACTGGACAAATGAAAGGAGCATAGAAGATTTTATTCAAGAGGATCCCAACAGGGAAGAGAGACTGAACTCAACTCCCCTGAAACAAAAGGCAAGAGGATTTTTCAGTACTGAGGTGAGCTCCTAGAAAATACATGAAGACAACAGAAGGCAGTTGATCAATGTGCTTCAGTTAATATGAGGCACTTGCTAATTGTCACATACGTAAGTTAGGCTCTTACAACTCCCACGGAGACTGGATGATGGGGGCTGTCTTCATGGAGGGAGGCTCTAGGTCCTTGACAAAGACAATCTTGCATTATAAAACTAGCAAGAGGCTTGGAGAAGATTTAACATTTTTAAAGGGGCAGAAATGGAATTTAGAATGAGTCTTCTAAAGTAAATTCTCTAAGAAAGGGGGAGACAGGAGCCTATAGCGAGGAAGACATCTGTCTAAAGTTGAGTCAAGCCGAGGTGAATGTTAAAGCCATGTCAATTATGTGGGCCTGAAGTCCAAGGACAGCATCCCTATGTCCTCATTAGAGGTGTCCTTGCAAGAAATAAGACAAAAGAAGAGCCAGAGTCATGGAAAAATAAAGACTCCCGGAGACAGAGAGGGGGTGATATATTTGTAAACCAAGGAAGACCAAGGGTTGTCCACAATGATCAGAAGCCAACTGAGACATTGAAACAACTTTCCCCCAGAACTTCTAAAGGAACCAACCAGGCCAACACCTTGACTTTGAATTTTTGTTCTCCGAAATAAGAGAATGAGTTTCTATTTTTCTGAAATTCCCAGTTTGAGTTGATTTGTTAAAGCAGCGCTAAAAAACTAATTGACCATCTTTCTGGGAAAGCCAAAGCCCACTGCCCACTTACATTCAAACATGGAAATTGTGCATTTCATTGAAGGTTCATCAAAACTGTCTTGTCTCCCATTCCTTTTCCCTCTAATTGATAGTACCAGCTAAAAGATATGGTTTCCTCCTGAGTTCTTCTAATAATGATGATGATAAGGATAGTACAGCTGAAGCTTGTTTAGCATTTGATTTATATCTTACATATTTTTAAACCTCTGAATCACAATCAGGCAGATAGCATTTTTATATTTTAGAAAAAGATACTGAGGAGAAGAAGGATCAAATGACACTAAGTGGCAGAACTAAAATGTGCTTCAAGCTCTGCCTGAGTACTGAGCCCATGCACTTAACCATTTTACTCTGATTTTTCTGTTTATGTCACTAAGTGTTCACCTCTCGTGCATCTCCTGCTGGGTTGTATTATAGTTATAATGCAGTTTTCTTTTATAGTACAAACTATTCCACAGAGGTAACTAGAAATAACAGATGCGTAAGCACAGCCATTTAATTTTTCCATTTTAAAAGTCTTTTAACATTATGTTGTCTCCATTTTCTAAAATTTAAACACATTATTCAAGAACGAATTTAAATCAGCTTGCTTGTATGTTTCTAACCTATAAATGATCTTCAGATTCTGTCATATTTACCTTTTCACAGCTTTTAGCACAATTCTTTGAATATCAGAGGTGCTCAAATCTCATTATTGAATGAATATAGTTAACCCAAGTGTCAGTCCTTGCATGTCCCTCAATTCCCCAGCTCTCTAGAGTCCCATTCTCCTTCAATATTTTAAGAGAATAACTAGAGACCACTTTCTGCATGCAGCAGGAAGCTGAGTGCTTTCCTGCCACAGGGTGGTTCAGAATATCATCACCTCATTGTCCCTGTTTGCCTGCCACCTCAGCTCTTCTCCTATGAATTCCTGCTGCTGACTCCACCCCGCAACTTGTCTCCCAAGATTGCTCCTCTGTTGCTATCCTGCATAGTACTCTACTGACACAAGAGGGCTGTGTGGTGGCCTCTTACTGGTGGGTTGGAAGTTGAAGGGGATTAAAGCATATCATAGTGTATTTATTCATCCCAACACTTAGCAAACATGCATGCATTCATTGTCTTGTGGTGCCATGTTGGGCACTGAGGTGGCAATGATAAGCACTCAGGAGAAAGTTCCCATGATCAGTCAGTTGATACTCTGTACAAGAATACAAAAAACTCACACAGGCACATGACAATGTCAACTTACAGCTTGGGAAAGTATAAACAAAGATGGGGCCACAATGGGTTGGGAACAGCAGTCGTGGGCTTGAACTGAGAGCTGGATGTGTAGGCATTAGCCATCCCTGCAGCAAGCATAGAGAGAGGAGAGAAAAGTATTTCAAAAGGATAAGCGTGTGCCAGCCAGCAATGGAGAGGTGGACCAAAACACTGCTGCAACTACAAGGCAGTCATACAGGGTAGGATGCAGGGAAAGGAGTGAAATAAGTCTGAAGAAACCACGCAAAACCAGCTTACCAAACACACAGAGAATGTCAGACTTCCTTAACATTTTAATCCTGAAGTTACTGGGTAGATATTGAACATCTTGATGTAGATTGTTTTTTTCCATTTTGTGGTTTGCGGGGGCAGGGTGTTAAAATCTGACTGTTATAGAGAACCAAGAACAAAGTGGGTAAAACATGGTGGATACTGCAACTCCAAATTGGAGGGCCATCTCTCCAGGCAAGAGATGATAGTGGTTTGGACCATAAAAGTGATGGTGGAGATAAATAAATGAAAAGATTGGAGAATTTAAATTAGCACAACAGCATCTGATGCTCTAAGTATAAGGAGAACAAGAAGGATCAAGAATGCAGAGCTTGGGGCTGGTGCTGTGGTGTAGTGGGCTAAGCTTCTGCCTGTGGTGCCAGCATCTCATGTGAGTGCTGGTTCAAGTCCCAGCTACTCCTCTTACAATCCAGCTCTCTGCTATGGCCTGGGAAAGCAATGGACAATAGCCAGGTACTTGGGTCCCTGCACCAATATGGGAGACCTGGAAAAAGTGCCTAGCTCCTGACTTTGGATCTGCTCAGCTCCAGCCATTGTGGGGAGTGAATCATGGATGGAAGACCTTTCTCTCTGTCTCTCCTTCTCTCTGACTGTAACTATACCTCTCAAATAAATAAACACAATATTCAAATAATTGAACGTAGAGCTCAATGTAGTTCCTGGGATTCTGGCTCTGGCCACTCCAGCTCCAGCTGTTGTAACCATTTGGAGAGTAATCAGCAGATGGGAAATTTCTGTCTCTGTCTCTCCCTCCCTCTTTTTCCTTTTATTGCCCTCTCAAATAAATATAATACATAAAAACGATCAGATTTGGTTTTGATTGTGGAAATTGCTTGATACTGTCTCTCATTAGGCTCTCAGATTGTCTAAGATTTTCTCTACACCGACTTTTTCTCCCTCAAAACCATCCTCCACCACTATCTTATTTCTTTACATATCCTTGGACTCATATCATTTCTTAGTAATAACTTCAATGAGACAGTTATCATGTAGATAATTTTTTAAAGATGTATTCATTTATTTGAATGGCAGAGTTACAGAGAGGCAGAGGCAGAGGCAGAGGCAGGGGCAGAGAGAGAGAGAAAGATCATCCATCTGCTGGTTCACTCCCTTAATGGCCGCAATGGCTGGAGCTGGGCCGATCCAAAGTCAGGAAGTAGAAGCTTCCTCCAGGTCTCCCACATGGGTGCAGGGACCCACGGACATGGGCCATCTTCCAGGCCACAGCAGAGAGCTGGATCAGCAGTGAAGCGGCCGGGACTTGAACCAGCACCCATAGCACTACAATTGAGGGCTTCTCCCACTAAGCCACACTGCTGGTCCTTCATGTAGATAACTTAACGTTAAATCTCCCTTACTCTGGGGTCAGCTTTGTTCTGCCCACAGTTTCAATGAACTATTGCTAAACTGTCTACCACAGTGCCGCCCTTAGTAACATACAGGCCATGGATAGGTATTGAAATCCCAACACTTTAATGTATCTTAGATCAAATCCTCAGGCTTCAGCTTCTGCCAGAACTTCCAGGGCTGTGGTACTGCAGAGGGCATCAGCACTTTCAGCTCTCCAATGGGCACAGTCTACTCCAGACTCCCTTAATTCCTTCATAGCCTAGCATCTCACTTACTACTCACCAGCTTTTGACTTGACATCTGCTGGGAAAATATTGTCTTTCTGTTGTTTTCTAGTATTTTTAAATATGCCATTCCTTACCCTCAACAATGTTGGCTTTGGAAACTCAAGATGGCTTGCAGGAAGTAAACACTATGACAGAGTGCTCTGCATAGAGTAAGCATTTTATGTTAACAATGAAAAATTAAAATGCTTAATAATGAATTATGACTTCCAAATCTTTCCCTGTCCAGGGAGGGTAAGTATCTGCCCCTAATGTTGACCCTGTCCTTGTGCTCTTTTAAAGGGAACATCCTTCTATGTCAGAACTTCCCATGTTTCCATATCCAAATTTCTTCACTAAGGAGGATGAAGAATTGGCGAAAATCATTGACTATCACGTAAGATTGATGTTCTTGAAATAGCAGCATAAGCATTGTTCTTTCAGGAAACTTGAATTATAGAGTGTAATTCTGAAACTGCAACATTAACATGTAGAGTTTCGAAGTAAAGGCATGAACAATCATTGCTAAACTTAATTGTCTTTCCCTATGCTATCTATATAGTGAGGTCCCAAAGGTATGTTACACCTCAGTGCCTTCATTGGGTTATGGGAAATTGGGCTTTCTGTCACTTGTGAAGTCTAGTCCAACACTGTTTCTTGAATTGGTCCTGACTTCTTGTGACAAAAATATGCTCTTAAGTGCTGAACACCGATTTCTTCTGCAATATAGTTCTGATAAAGGAACAGAAACCTTTTGACTCAGTTTTCAGTGACCATTCTTTATTATTGGGAGATAAAAACACTTTTAATCATTTGCTCTTATTATGAGTTTATAAAGCAGTGACAATATAGTACTTTTCACATAAGGCATTTTAATTCATTGTGCTAATTTTAGTTTATAATTTCCTAACAGACACACATCATTTTATGTCTACTTTTTAGGTGTGGAGTTGGAGTAGGAGAAAAAAATAGCTATTTCTGTCTTTATTTGAATACAATATGGATTCATAAAAAACTTACATAAATGTTATCACAAATAATTGGATACTATCTATTAGTATGTGATTATATTGCCAGTTAATTTTTTTCACATTCTATTAGTGACCTTTTCAGAAGAAATAAGGTATTATTTCATTTACTGATCCCACAGAACCATTTAGCACATAGCACACAACTCTGGCAATAGTAATAAGTGTTACTTTCTGGAAACCAATTCCTTGGAATCATAAAATTGGAGGGGGAGTGTAATATTGCTCCTATATTTATTAGTAGAAGTTTTGTTAAACAGATAATATTCTGAATGAAGGACATTTTCAGCAATTTCTAATGGTTCATAAATGTCAAAATTTATATTCAGTTCAACAAGATGATCTAGAATTGATTACAAGAGAGAGTACTTTACATGTGTACACATACATACATTTGGGTTACTTTGGGCTACCCAGGCATAGTAAAAGAGACAGAGGATATAACCTGGAATGATAGTGAAGAGGTTAGGAAACAGCTTCCAACACCAATCATATTTTTCTCATTCCAAGGACACAAGCATTATCTAAGTCATCACTGCAATGACCTTGTTTATATTACAGCTCAAGTGAAGAATTCCTTTCTGAATATATGCTTGAGAACTAGTAAGATCCAAATTGTTCAATATATAGCAGCCTAATAAAATAGTTAACATTCATACTATTGATTTTAGAAGCTAAATTAATATAAGCATTTATATGGGAAATCACATATAAATGGAGTTTTCTCTTTGTTACAGTGGCAGGAAGAGCTAAAGACATGGCAGGAAGAAGAGGCGATATGTGAGGCCAAAGAACGTGAAGACAAAGAATTAGAGGAGAAAAAACACTTCCAGGAAGTAATGAGAAAAAGAGAAGAAAAATTGCATAAGCAAACCAAACCCTATGAGCTTCCTCCTAGGACTCAAGTAATCTCAATAGAAAAGACTATGACTCCCCAGAAAATTGGGATCCACAGGTCTACAACTGTTAGTATGAAAGAGACCAAGATATCCACCGTTACGAAAACTTCAATGTCATTCACTTGAGGCCATTTTTAGAAAGGGGTTGTTATTCTGGTGCAAGCAGTTACTCATTTTTAGTCCTAGATTAATACTAAATTAAATATTAAATTAATATTAATATTAAACTCTTAATCACTCAAGAGAAGTCATTTCGCCAGTTAAATATTTCCAGGACCACAGCTGATACTCTTCTCCATTTACTCTTGCCTTGTGAGCATACCTGATCAATGATTCTGAATATTTAAACCATTCACTGAATGGTTAAATAGAAATTAGTTACAGATTAACTGATGTATAAGAATCACTTCTTCAGAATACAATGACCATTATCTGATATTCTATAATATCTATTATTCAAATGAAGTAAGTTATGCACATTTTTGGATTTGTGCTGTATGAACAGTTTATGCCAAGACAAATGCTATGTCAAAGACCTGAACTGGATATTACTATATATAAGGAAATCTCGAAGGGGCAGCTTTTTCTGATTGATTTGACATTTGACGGGTATCAGAGGAGAAAGATAAGTTTTAGTGGTTTTCCTTTATTAGATGAGTTTGTGAGAATGGATTTGGCTGATCCTAGAAGGTCCAGTACCATTTCTTGAAGGGATTCTGCTAATCAGGAGTTCTTTCAAAAATGGCACTTCACTTGAACTGAAGTCCTTGCCCCAATGTAGGGGTACCACGTGGGGTTTCTATATGATGTCTTACGTTCTTTTTCTGAAAAAGGCAGGTAATAACCACACTTCAATTTTACACAAGTGGCTTGGGTGATACTCAAGAGGCAGATCCTTTACCAAGGAGTCAAGTGCAATTGACTGAACGGATCGGCAAGGTAACACAAGTTAGTAAAAGGGAGTAGTGGACATGCCTGCTTATCTAAGAAATATCCCACCACCCAGCCACATTCTGAAGTTTGTCCACTGTTGTAGTATCTTCCATACTTTCCAGAAGATGCCTTCAAATGGGATTTTTCTTCTAAATAAAAGATTCTAAATGTCAAAATATTGGAAACTAGCTTTTAAAAATCATATATTTTCAGGTTAAATTTGATACCTGAGCCATGTGAATTTAAGGTACTATTCTTTGTTTAAGGTAGTGATAATATGTAGTTAGAGAAATGATGGAAGTGGGTTATTATTTTAATTCCCCAGATGACTGATTCAAACTTGTGTTTCTCTTCCAAACTTTTGTCTCCTCCTTGTGTCCTCATACTGAGAATAAACAAGTTCTTGGAAATGATGTTTCCCAGTAGCTTTCCAAATACTTTCATCGATCTTTGCTTTCTGTACATGTGAAAATAAATCTCTCTTACAGAAGCCAGTCCCCTTCCTCTGACTCCCATCCTTTGTAAAGTCTCGTTTGCTAGGCTATTCGCTACCTCCTTCTAAATCTGTCCATATCACCCATTTCCATTAAATTCACAGATGTCTTAATTTTCTCCTCTTTTTCACCTAAACTACTTCCACGTTAGAGCTACTAGTGACATCAGCCTCACGAAACCTTGACCATCCTTTGACATTTCTATTGATTTGTAGGGAGCTAGAGCCACTGGATTCCAGATTCTAAGAAAGGGACACTGAGATCTAATTGCTATTTTAAGAATTCTAGCGGCTGGTGCCGCAGCTCACTAGGCTAATCCTCCACCTTGCGGCGCCGGCACACGGGGTTCTAGTCCCGGTCGGGGCGCCAGATTCTGTCCCGGTTGCCCCTCTTCCAGGCCTGCTCTCTGCTGTGGCCAGGGAGTGCAGTGGAGGATGGCCCAAGTACTTGGGCCCTACACCCCATGGGAGACCAGGATAAGTACCTGGCTCCTGCCATCGGATCAGCACGGTGCGCTGTCGGCAGTGCGCCGGCCGCGGTGGCCAATGGAGGGTGAACCAACGGCAAAGGAAGACCTTTCTCTCTGTCTCTCTCTCTCACTGTCCACTCTGCCTGTCAAAAAATAATAGAAAAAAGAATTTTAGCAAATCCTGCTGTTTCGACACCACCCTGTGGAAAGAAATCTCATGCCTCCAATACCTGACTCTTTTGGGCATCCTTATCCATTTCTAGCCTGCCTTCTAGCTCCCTCATTGCAGACATATGTTTTTTTATTCTCTGTTATACTTAGTCTGTTCCTACTTGCTCACATGGTTTCCTCATTGCCACAATTTTCTTAGCATTTCCAATGAACTATTGTTTTTTCTCAATATAAATTCATGCCTTTTTAAAAATAACTCTTTTTCTGTCATGGTAGTTGTGATTTTGAAAGGAGGGGAAAAGTATCTATAGATAGATGGAGGAAGAAAAAAGGGGAGAGGTGGTTAATCAGAATATTTATATCTTTATTCTTAAAAATCTTAAAATTTGGCAACACACATCTCTTATGGTTTACTTCCTTTATCTCTAGTTCTTCCTGAAATGTTAGTGCACACTGTGTCTTATAGATCTGGGTTCACATTCTAGTCATGTCTCCTGTTAGCTGTGAAGCATCAGGCAAATACTGAACCCAGTGCACTTCACTTTACTCTTTTACAAAATGGACACAATTTATGTACAGAGTATATTAGCTAATTAGGAAAATAACACTCAATCATTTTATTAGAACTTAATGCATGGGATTATTTTCAAAGGTGCCAGAAAATTGAGAAAATAAAAAGGGAATATAGAAATAACAGAAATATGTTTTAAAAAAGCCAGATACAGAAAGACAAATACCACATGATCTCCCTTATATGTGGGAGCTAAAATTAAAAAAAATATTTATCAGTTTTTCTGCAAATACAGTGTCTTGTCAAGCTTTGTTTTAAATATCCATCAAACAAATTGAAGGGAATTATATACTAGTATAGTATTCATTATTTTGTGACTATTTTAAAATCTACTTTATATGAATGAAATTGAATATGCTTTCATTTGATTATATTTAGAGTCTTCATCTATTTTCCTGTTAGACTATTTTTTTATGTTTGATTTGTTGAATTCTTTATCTCATAGAGTCATTAAAGCTTTGACTACAATGTACATTAAAATATTTCATCTAAAAAACTAAAGTAGTTTTAGGAAACTGCTGCCACTCCTAAGGTCTCAAACCCAAAAGAGTGTGACCATGTAGGGCCTGTAGGAGGCCTCGGGCATTGTGGGACTCTGGACTAGGATGGTGAGAGATTGCCCAGCCATGGTTTTTCTGAAGGGCCAGACACAGCCAGATGTGGGAGTGCAGAAAGACATGAAAATGGGAAGAAATCGTTGTTTGCTCAAACCACACCATTAGGAATAGCATCAAAATGAGAGGAGCTAACTTTCTGCTTCCTGGTCCTTAAGTGATTCCTGTTCCCAACCAAGGATCACGAAGCAGATAATAACAAAACTGAGATTGCATTGGTAATGAAGGTCCTCCCAACAAAGAAAAGCCCAGGACTGCATGGAAGGAATTCACTGCTGAATTCCACCAAACTTTTAAGGAAGAGCTTCTTATTATAGTATTCAGAACAATTGAAAGGGTGGAACCCTTTCAAACTCACCCTATGAGTCTAGAATTACCATAATTCCAAAACCAGACAGTGATACAATAAAGAGTGCTATAGATCAATATCCCTGATGAGCATAGATGCAAAAATCCTCACCAAAATACTAGTAAATCAAATCAAACAATGCCTCAGAAAGATCACTATGACCAAGTGGGGTTTATCCCAGAGGTACAGGGATGGTTCAACATACACAAATCAATAAATGTGATACATCAACAAAATGAAGGATAAAAACCGTATGATTGTCTCAATGTGTGCCAAGAAAGTATTTGATAAAATACAGCATCCTTACATAACAAAAAAAGAAACTTTACCAAAATTAGATATAAAAAGAACATACTTCAACACAATAAAGACAATAAAAGACAAGTCCACAGCCAACATCATGTTGAGTGGATAAAAGTTGGAAGCATTCCCACTAAGATATGGAAACATTTAGTTTTTTCAATATAGTTCTGTAATTGTTAACCAGAGCCACTAGGTAAAAAAAAAAATCAAGGTAATACAAAATGAAAAAGAGGAAATCCAATTATGCCTGTTTGTAGATGACATGATTCTATATACACAGAAACCGAAAAAGACTACATCAAGACACTATCAGAAATTATAAGAGAATTCAGTGAACTTGCAAGACATAAACTCAACATCCAAAAATCAATAACATTTTTACACAGCAATAATGATCTGATTGAGAAAAAATGATAAGAACAGTCCCACTCACAATAGTTAAAAATAAATATATAAATAAAAATAAATATATAAATAAACAAAAATAAATAAATAAATAGTTTAAAAATTAAAAAAATTAAAAAAAAACACAAGGGACTGGCATTGTTATGTAGAAGGTAAAGCTGCCACCTGCATTTCTAGCATCCCATATAGGCACCAGTTCATGCCCTGGTTGCCCTACTTCTGATCTAGCTCCCTGCTAATGGCCTTGGAAAAACAGTGAAAGATAGTCCAAATGCTTGGGGCCCTTAAATGATGCTCTTTGCTCCTGGTTTTGACCTGGCTCAGCCCTGGTCATTGTAGCCATCTGGGTACAATCAGTAGATGGAAATCTCTTCCTTTCTCTCTCTCTCTTTTTCTCTCTCTCTCTTTCTCTGGAACTCTCCTTTTCAGATAAAAAATAAATCTTTTTAAAAAAAAATCAAATGTCTTGGGGCCGGCGCCATGGCTCACTTGGTTAATCCTCCGCATGCAGCACCGGCATCCCATATGGGTGCTGGGTTCTAGTCCTGGTTGCTCCTCTTCCAGTCCAGCTCTCTGCTGTGGCCCGGGAGGGCAGTGGAGGATGGCGCAGGTGTTTGGGCCCCTGTACCCTCATGGGAAACCAGGAGGAAGCACCTGGCTCCTGGCTTCAGATCTGTGCAGTGCCGGCCGTAGTGGCCATTTTGGGAGTGAACCAACAGAAGGAAGACCTTCCTCTCTGTCTCTCTCTCTCTCTCTCACTGTCTATAACTCTATCTATCAAAAAAATTTTAAAAATCAAATGTCTTGAGATAAATATAACCGTGACTGTGAAGTCTCTCTGCAATGAAAAATACAAAACATCAATAAATAGAAGAAGACACAAATGGAAAGAAAAATCTACCATGTTACTGGATTAGA